CGAGAAGGTCTAAACCCGGAGGTCGCATATCGAGTACAAGAGGGGCAAGTCGACTTTGTGGATAGAAAGTTTGAACCATCCGATCTCGACAATGTTGATATGGTATTGACTGCGGTCGATGACCCGGAAGCATCTTCACAGATATGGAAGTTATGTAAAGAACGGAAAATAGCAGCGAACATTGCAGATGTGCCACCTGAATGTGACTTCTACTTTGGTAGTGTTCATCGAGATGGGCCATTGCAAATTATGGTTAGCACAAATGGGAAAGGTCCACGGTTTGCCAATATTGTAAGGAGACAAATTGCTTCGAATCTACCAGACAGAATTGGAGAAGGGATAGAGAAGATTGGAAAACTAAGGCAGATGCTCAGAAAGGTTGCACCAGGACCAGAAGAAGGACCAAAAAGGATGGCATGGTAAGCATTTTTGGATAAGAATTTTGCCACTCTACTTATAACAAGCAGGATGATCAAAGTAAGCGACGCTTATAGTTTAGAAGACCTACATGCAATGAACGAAGAAGATATGGAATTGCTATTAAAATTCTACGCCCCAAATCAAGTCCCAAGATTTCATTGTTTACAGAAAATGAAGGTTCAGTCGTGGGACTTGGGATGTTTACGACCATTGAAGGGTGAGGATGAAACTTTTGATGGTTCTTGGGGATTCTCCGTGGGATGGGGTTGATAGATTTGACCGACTGTATACATAACGGGAAACTATTGGCGTTTTTATTCTATCGAAAACAACTCTACGAAGGGGTACTTGGTAGGCGCCTTTCCAAGTTCTTGGAATAACGGTCACTTATCATGGACTTTCTCAATCGAAAACAATTGGAAATGAACCAAGAGAACTTACTACATTGGGGCAGAAGTGCAAAAGTGCTCATGTTTCCTCGTCAACATACCCACTCCAGCCACTCTCATCTTGCCTTTTTCTTCGCTGCAATGGTCTGTTGAAGTTCGTCCACCACTCTTAGTAAAACGATGTTCGGCCAAGGTCTGATGTTATATATATATGATTCTTTCAAAGTTATGGCTTAGGTCTGATTCCGCATATTTGACTTTCTTGAAGTTATGGTCTTGGTCTGACGACCTCGATTAAGATACAGACATATGAACATACGGTGTACAATCATTGAAAACTGTATGGCATTTCCGGCAGACATATCGCTTGTCAAGAGTTCTTGAGTCCATCAGTCCTAGCGTGTCAGGTAGATCTGATATGCCCAAAGACATATTTTTGTTATTTTCAGACTTCGGATTTCCCTTTTTTTGAATGATTTTGACAACACCAAATCAAAGTTCATGAGAACATGTCCGATGATTGATGGCTCGATCCTTCCGGCTGACACGTCCTTCATCAAGCCATTTCTCCGCATTTTACTAGGTTAATACGTCCGGGGTCCCCACACCCCACGTACGCTGGTGAATTCTCCTCAACAAGTTATCAGGTTTGATCAAAGAAGATCTTACCTTCGAATGAAGATGTAACCCTGAGTAGTTCGAACTTCAATTTGAGCGGATCACTCTGAGCGGACGGAGAAACTTTTGAAAACAAGACGACTCAAAATGAGGATGTGAAGGCCAAGGCTTAACTACTTCTATACCCCTCAATGATCTCCTGTTCCTTGATTACATGTGAATAAGCACGATGTCAATCTATGCATAAGAATAGATTCAATGATGATTTTGTGAATATGCAGAAACTACATAAGTTGGGAAGTTTCTATCTCTCTTCCATTTTAATTCTTCATCACGCCTTACAATCACATCAAGATGCGGTACTCTCTTCTTTTGGCATATGCATCCGCAACTGCAGCAAGTGTAATCAGTACAAGGGCCGAAGATGCTACTATCAAGTATTCTACCTTAGTTTCTGATTCATTCATTCAACGGGGTGTTCCCAAAACGGCCCAATATGCTCAAGCAGTATTCTATCGAGGTATTGAAATGGCATACAATGCCACCGGGAACGCAACATACATTAATTGGCTAAAATCACAATTGGATACTGCTGTACCTGCAAATGGATCAATACTCGGCTATCCATCCTACCCAGCTTCCCTTGATGACATTCGAATTGGAACCATCATCCTCGACACATGGGCTCGAACCAACGAAACGAGATATAAGGTTGCCGCCGACAAATTACGTCAACAATTCAACTACAACCCACGAATTGCCTCTGGAGGATTCTGGCATCGTGCACCCACATACCCAAATCAAATGTGGTTGGATGGTATTTTCATGGCTGATGTCTTTTATGCTCAATGGACATCATACTTTGATGCCGCCAATGTTACTGCTTGGGATGATATCTTATTGCAATATTCGCTTATTGAAGAACATTGTCGCAATCACACCACAAATCTTATCGTTCATGGTTATGACGAAAGTAAAACTCAAGTATGGGCTGATCCCATAACAGGAGCATCACCTAATGTTTGGGATCGAGCATTGGGATGGTATCTAATGGCCCTCGTCGATGTTCTCGATTATTTCCCTGAATCACATGAAGGACATGCAAAGCTTCTTGATTGGTTTATTACTGCATCAGCAGGTGTAGCTACTGCACAGGATACAACAGGTGGTTGGTGGTTAGTAATGAATGAACCATATCCAGGGAAACCACGAAATTATATCGAATCTAGCGGTTCAGCAATGTTCATTTATGCAATTTTGAAAGGTGTCAGAAAGGGATATCTTGGAAGTGAATATATTGCACCAATGAAGAAAGGTTATGAATATCTTGCGGAAACGTTTGTCGCATTCAACGGAACAAATGATACGGTTAATTGGGAGGGAACAGTTGTGGTGGGAAGTTTGGGATCCAATGCTACATTTGAGGTTTGTCTTGTGTGTGAAATTTCATTGGAAATTTGACTAACTTTCGGATAGTACTATACCTCGATTGACATTGATGAAAATGATTTGAAGGGTGCTGGACCTTTTGTTTTTGCTAGTGTGGAGTATGAACAATTGGCAGCATAGAATATTGATTGGATGGAACTAGTTGCCAGGAACGAAGGATTCAAGATAATTTGATGGATTTGGTCAACTATGCCACTAACCTAAAATAGTACACAGAGTGCATTGCAACGAGAAAGATTATTGGAACGAAGGATCTCTCATTATGGGACCACAGTCGGACTCTTAAGTAAAGAAGAATTGTATAAACCCATCGAAATCATTACATGAGAAAGATTTACCATTTATTGATAATGAATGTGGACGTTGGAAACATCTCAGTCTACTTCCAATGCCAAATATATCTTCAAAATCATACATATAAGGAAGGTTACATTTAAGCAGAATCTAGACCGTGCAACGACGAAATCAAATGTACAGGTTTGATCGCGTGATGTGCACGTGACTCGTAAAAGAAAAATAAGCTGGTGAGGTATTTCATACTTTACAATTCACCAAACTGCATCTATAATTGCGCTTGCAAATGTGCCTTTTGAGGAAATGTAGTGAAATCATACCCATTTCCTTTCTCAATACTTCTCTTCCAGGCAGGTCTCTCATAACACCTCTTTAACCATTCATCCAAAGCCGGGAACTCCTTCTCCAAATCTACCCATCTTCTCTGTTTAATCAACGCCATTGGAAACTCCAACATAATATCCGCTCTTCCTGGATTCTTTCCCATGAAAAATCCTCCCTCGGGACCTTCCTTCAATTCTTTTTCCAAATCACCCAATACCTTCCTTATAGCAGGTCCATCAAATCGTTTCCCCATAGGTCCAGCTCCATTAGCTATAACATTTAAATCCAGCATAAACATAATATTTGTTGCTCTTCCCAAATCAGTCAAATTAATGGAAATGAGTATTTCATCACGGATCCAATCACCATTACGAAGACCAAAGGTATCAGCGGAATCGAAGGTACGGATGAGGTAAGTGGCTATAGCGAGAGATTCAGGGATATAGCGATTTCCATCTTTGGGACCGGTGATGAGTAAAGGAGCTTTTCCGTAATGACCGGTGGCTTGAAGAGATGGAGGTGCGAGTAAAGGAGCCTTGGGATCGGTGGCGGCATTCCGGGTATGGAGTTGGAGATTGTAGGGGATGGAAAGTTCTTCTAAGAGCCAGAAGATCCGTTGAGATTGTGAATCCTTTGATGGTTAGTATATGAATAGGTATCATTTAACAATTGGAATGATTAAAACTTACATTGAGATGGTGAAATGTAGGTGTGTTGTCTGTCATTTTGTTGGGTTTAAGGTTTGATGATATAATGCGGGGTACCTAGGTAGAGATAGAAATGGAAAGATATATAAAAGCAAACTATACAGAGGGACGGAATTTATGTGAAAGAGATATGATAATGATTTGATGCTAGAGGAAGAAGTCTAGAATTTCGTTTCAATCACCTTGATTTATAATATCAAGAACGACCTTGAGACGTCGATTTCAAGGTAAGAAGAATGAGATCCACATGGTTCGGTTAAGAAGAGGGGCCTCGGGATTTCGGTCAACTGGTGAAGATCCGAATAGCATTGAGTCCGGACATAATGAGATGGAAATGACTAATTAGTCGGACATAAGAGAGTGTGTAGTAAATCCAATGAATAATTACTTTCAACATTGAAGAATTCATAGAGGAAGTTGCTGGGTATGGAATATACCATTGGGTTTCTCTGGGAGATAACTTTGGTGTATCATCGATACTATCCAAGTCATCAAGTTTATGAGGAATGGGACTTTTTAATTACCTTTAAATTGCATGTTTATATTACTTGGAACTTGATAAATATTGAAAACAGATGGGGTTATTGGAGGATACTGATGGTATAATAAGGAAAATTATTTATTTATATTATTTGAGTGTTTAAGGTATTTTTAAGATTGACTATGAAATTAAAGGAAGTAGTTGAAAAGGAAATCGCTAGAAAAGGAAAAATCTCAACATCTAGTGGATGTTGTCGCCAGCGACACTTATCCCTACTCAACTTCTTCGCTCTCCATTCTCAATCTTTTACTCGTCGACTTACAAGTAGGCTACGGGTAGCAATGGCGCTTCCAATGGCCACTTGGTCCATGGGGTAAACCGGGCAATGCAATGATCACAAAGGCCTACCTTTGCACCTGGACGGATGACCATTTTTGGGATTGAGAATCGGATGTGGGCGCTCGACTTGCCCCTTTGTTCGGCCTCGAAAATGGTGCCCAGGATTTCTTTCCATATAGCTCTGGTCTCCGGAGAGTCAAGCTGATGTGGAAGAGCGCAATTAACATCCTGAACAATGAACTCATTCAAGTTGTTGAATCGCAGGTCCGCGAACCTGATGTCGTTTCCTTGGTACCGATTGAATTTGATGTCCTCAAATCCGTAGTAGTTATCTTGCCAGTCCCATAATGTCTGGTCCCAAGTCCAGAAAGAATTCATGAAAACATCAGTAGATACTTGAACCTTCTTTACAAAGTCGGGGTCTACGAGTAGTGGGCTTCTGCTTGGCTTATCAGCATTTACGTCGTTGGAGTGGGATAACGGGTAAAGATCGCAACGAAGATTTTCATCGACTATCATGTCGATTTCAGGGTTGAAGAGAATTTGGAGTTTCTTCTCCTTTGGAACCCAAGATCTTCTGGAAAGTCTTAGATCCTGAAGACGCTCAGCCGAAATCGCTATATTTTTGTAACATTTTACTACTTCACATCTGGCCTCCGCATTAACACTAAGTAAAGAAGGAACAGTCATAGAGCTTGGAGGTAAAGTACTGTTAACGCTCAAGCACTGTCTACTCAATAAACGAGGAGTCAATGTAGCCTTCCAGATCATGATTCGTATATCTGGGACAAGTTGTGGGAAAATTGTGAACTTAGCCAGAGCTTGACCAATAAATGATTGATCTTGAGCCGGAGCTTGACGATCGGAAGATTGGTCTTGAGAATCCATTTCAAAGGTAGATTTTAGTTCTTGTAAGCTAAAGGTTGAAATTTTTGATTTAGTTACTTGAGCAGTGTAGTGTAGAGATAGTCAAATAGATGAGAATGATTTTTTAAAAATGATTGTAGAGCATCAGAGTTGTATAGACTGAGCAAGATCTTTGTTCTACCATTATTATTCTTCATTAAGATGAACTTTGTTCAAAATACCTTTGAGGTATCTTCAAATATCCAGTCAATTTCTTTGTTATAACAATAAGATAGTAAACATTAAGTTAGCTACCTTTAGAACATTGCATTATTCCCCTCATCGAACGGCAGCCAGTGCTGAGAGTCGGAAATTGTTACTGCGAAATTTATTTGGTGTACACTGCTTCCGAGTTACCAATCATTGAAAAGGTTTCAAGGGCATGATTTCCCAATACCGGGGGATGAGTTCTATTATGATTGATCTGACAAATTGTAGGTAGTTCTAGGCTCTTTACTACGGATTCCGCGTCTCTTTGTCGTTCATGCTCTCCGTGTCATAAGAGTGCCGTATTTTACCACGAAATAAGAAGTCACTTGCACCCCTCAATCTTCAGATATCAGAATCAATCGTTATGTTCAATCCAACAAACGGATTTACCGCTCACATCCAAAAATACTGATGGAAATTTGACATAAATATTTCTTTCGTATTTGATATTATTTGCAGGTGATATGAATCATTTACCGCCTCCGCAAAGCTAGTCCCGATCATACAAGTCAAAAGACTCAACTAAAATTCCCAGTACTCCACCAATCCTCCATCTGACCCAATCCATCACCCCTTTGATGAAAAAAACTTTCCGCCAAAACCGCCAGTTCATCATCCGAATAATGAAATGGTGGTTGAACAAATTCTTCTTGTTCTCGATCTTGATCTGTCGTTCCATTTCCTAAATTCACCACACTCGTATTGACAGAATTAGGACCAGATCCCTCAAAATCTTGTCTATCAACTCTAGTTGGTTCTGGTAATGATGAAGCATGACTAATTTCATGAGGAGTAGGAATTGATGCCGAGTATAAGGATGGTCCGAAAAGACGACGAGCCAATGAGGGTATTTCACTCGAGGAAGAGTATTCTAAAATTTCCCAAAATTGACCCAAGTCAATGAGAAGACTACGATTAGGGGTTTGTGGTGGTGCATCAGAATTTGTATAAGTAGATGAAACTGTATCACAAAGACGCTGAAGTTTTTCCGCCTGAGTTAATGTTAATACGAAAACAAAACTTGAAGATGAATTAACTTACCATTCGAGCAACATGAGGCCATTCTTTAAAATCTCGTATAAATTTCAAACACTTATCAAAGTTGTCTCGTTTTTCTTGTCGTACAATTGGATCCTCGACAAAACATTCTTGTAAATATATTGTTGCAATGATTGCTACACAATGAGCAAGAAATGGATCAGAGACTTTGAAAGATTTAACCTCCAACATATCAATATATCTAATGACCCAACTAGCATGTGATGAGATCAAATCTGAAATATGTTGTAAGAATATTTCTGGAATATTGGATTTGAGATGTTTTAATCGAAGTGACAATAAAAGTGGATTATTCAATAGGCAAAGGTTTGTGTGATATAAAAATTGAATGAATAACCAAGGACCCCAATAATCTCGATTGGCATGTAATTCTTCGGATGTTCTTTGAGAAAATTTGGCTGATTTGAAGCGATGAATTTGTGAGGTACGAGTCTCAAAATCCATTTGTTGAGCCATTATTAATGCGTAATCTGATTGAGGAGACCAAGGAGGTAAAGTACTTGGATTTCCACGTCTCCTCGCGTACCGGGTAATTTTGAACCACACTTCACTAAGTTGAATGGCATAAGCAACGACACCTCTATCTTGAGTATCAGATATAGCAAACTCTGGTGATGAAAGATCGGGAGTTTCTCCATTCGTAAATTGACCATGATTCAATGGTTTACCAGTGGTTTCAGGGTACCATGGAAATTTGTCTTCACCTGCGAAATCTATAACACTGAACTCTGCGCCATGTAATCTTTTGAGGAGAAACAAACTCCAAAAACATCGACGACGTTCTTCACGTAGTGAATCGGGTAAAGGAGCATGAGTTTCTGTCGTGAGACCAGAATTATGAGCTAAACTCATGGCTAGACTACTATGTACACTTGCTTGTCGTGTATTTCCATCTAAATTTATTAGTTGTGTTGTTTTTGGGGGACGTATGATACGTACTGGTGAAGTCTACTAAACTAAGAAGGCATAAAGATTGTAACGTTGAAAGTTCTACTCGACCTCCAAATATTCTGGCAGAGATAATTGATTGAGCTGCCTCTACATATCCTGTAATGAGTTCAGATTGATCATCCCGAAAGATATCATCATCTGAAAAGCGTATTGCCAAAGCTAGGATTGAAAAAATTACTTCTGGATCACGTTCGTTGATTGTTTCAACAAATCTATTTCGACAGAATACAGGAAGTGGTTGACAATCGCAGTATAGTAGGTAAGTTTTTGCAATACTTATGACTGCCTCATATGGTGGGAGTTTGCTTTATTTGGTCAATTTAATGATCTTATAAATCACTGCATTGAAAACTCTCACCTACTCGAAAGCCTAAAAACATTTGGTGTCCTCATCGTCTGTCCTAGTTGTGACAAAACAGGAGAATTTGACATATGTCTTGATGCACTCCTACTCATGGATACTTGATTCGAAAGGACTTCTGCAAGTTGTGCCTCAACTGATTTCAATCTATCTTCCTAGTATATCTTATAAGCGTTGATATTCATAATCAAAGTCCTACGCTTATGACTTACCAAGTTGATATCATTTGATGATCTCACGTGGCTTTTCTCCTGTATCCGAGTCGGTGTTGGTAATGGAGTCCTCTCAATTGAGGTTCTCTCATTGACATGATTTAAATCATCAGCATAATAACAATTTTGTCTTAATCTCGCACAATGTGAGCATATTGGTTTTTCACCAGGACATCTCGTTTTCTTGCGTCTATTCCACGTTATTCATCAACCAAAACAATTATATATTCATGCTCTTTAATTCCCCACTTCTCATACTCGTCATCCCTTAACCAAATGAAATCCAAATGGAAAGAACTCTTACGTACCGACATGGCTCACATGCTTGGCGAATACGTTTTGCTGGACGTTCTGACATTGAAGCACTTTCGATGAAATGTGCAAAAAGATTGAGATTGTTCATCTATCATGGTGTTTGTTTATCAATTGAGTGGGATAAAAGTTAATTTATTGATAAAGAAGTCAGTGCAATTAATGCACTAGTAGTAGTCATAATTATGTTACTAACCAGATTTGGGTGAAATGAAGGAGCAGGGATTCCCGACGGAGAACGGATGTTATTCGGATAATCCTCCTTTTCTACCCGAGTAGGTAGGAATGTTTCATTCAATACAAATTTGTGTGATAATTATAAGAGGTTCAATATTGTTGTGAATTATCTCAATTTTGAATATAGATCATACAGCTATGATAACAATTTCTAATATCGAAAATGATACCATGTAAGATATCCAGAAATCAAAGTACTCCTTGATGTACCCCTCGATATACTCTTTGATGTACCCCTCGATATACTCCTCGATGTACTCCTTGATGTACTCCCCAAAACCATGGACAAGTAATAAATTTATAAGCTGGCCCTCATTTCAACTTCTGGTTGTGTACCCGAAACATTTCTTTCAATATCCAAACTCATATCATAGTCATTCATCTCCTCAATTGTTAATTTCTTCTTCTCATCCAACACTTTATAATTAGGATTGTTGATATTCGATGAAAATCCAATCCGTTCATTGATATTCACCCTAGCACGAGCACTAGCCGCTTGTACCCGAGAAGCTCTAGGCTTACGAATTTGTTCATACAACTTTAACCCCTCGCTAATGGTTGTTTTTGAATTTGCAAATCCATATTTCCTTCCAAAAATTATACCCAATGCAGCAGCATCTTCTAAAGCCTGACATGCTCCTTGACTTTGATCTGGAAGCATAGGATGTGCTGCATCTCCAAGAATACAAGTAGAACCTTTTTGCCAATATGGATATGGTTGATGAACAAATAATCTCCATGGTTTGACATCAGTTGAGTTCTTGAATAATGCAAGAAGTTCCGGATCGAGATCGGGAAATGGTCTGAGAATATCTTCAACGGTAAGATTGATATTCCAACCTTCGCCGGCATGAGGACTTTCGTTTGTTGGAAAGAAACAATAAAATGAATGAACTTCTCCATCTCGACATGGCGAGAATACAATCTTGTGAATTCCTTGTCCACCCCAAAATTCGATAGCACTATTCGGTGATAGATCTCGAAGTCCTAGTCTCCTTGCATCTTTTGTTTCGATAATACAATGTAAACATGTAGATGTAGATAATTCTCGATCCGGCACAATTCCTAAAGTTTTTCGTACTTGTGACCCAATACCATCTGCACCAATAATCAAATCATGTTTGACTTTTAAACCATTCTCAAAAGTAGCGATGCCTTGTTCATGATCGATCTCGGAGCATTTGTGATTGCATTTTAGGATTGCTGGTATGCCGGAATGATTTGACCCAGTAGCAGAGTCCATCAACATCTCATGCATATTGACTCTGTGAAACATATTATAAACGTATCCCCATCTACTCTTGTAATCGGCCAAATCATATACATTTTGAACCTCTCCAGTTTTCCAATCATGCGAGATAAGTTTTTCTAAAACCACAGGTCGTCCAATTGAGATATTGACACCCCAATTTTCAAGCCACTTTGTGCCATTCGCCGCACAAGATATAGAAGCACCAACTTCTCCAGCGAAATCTGCTCGTTCATATATTGTGACTCGATGTCCGGCTTGTCGTAAACTTGTAGCAGCAGCGAGACCACCTATTTTATCAGATTTATTAGTTATTGTTAATAATTCAAAATGAGGTTTATGCATACCTATTCCACCACCAATCACGCCAATATCCAATTCTCTCCAGGAATTCTCCATTGAGTTAATATTGATCGACGCCGGATATTGAAACTATAAGATGGATAATATTGAAACTCGACAATGAATTCACAGATATTGATTTGTTTGAAATCAAATGAGAAATGAAAGCTTTATTTGACCAAGAGAAACATAAGAGTGTTTTCCTTGACTCTCTTTATAACTTCCCAATTGCATCACCATAGATCTTACCCATGATGGTTATAGCTGGTGCAGTTCCAAATTGGTTAAACGCAATATCTGCAACATCTTGCAATTGAATGAAACCCCTCACTTACTTATCGTCGAGATAGGAATGATTCGTAGATACATCTTAGCTGAATGATTTCCGCATCCGCTTCCGTGTTATGTAAATAGTTTGACTTTTTGAAGATGGGATTATTTGGTGAATTGATGTAATAAGGTTACCAGGAACTTTATCATGGCTTATGTAAGACATTCCGCTTCCGATCCGTTAGCGTGTTACCAATTATCAATTGGATTCCCGCAGTCCTTGCTAGTACAGTAATAAGTAAACTTTCCGGCATTATAGCTTTATTATCATTGATGATGTGTTGCCTTACATTTTGATGACATTCCCAAATTCACATCACCATGTTTCAAGATCAAAAAGTCAAAGTCAAAGTCAAATTGACTAATCTAGATGATCCGTCAGTCAATGCTCCTATTGACTTCCTGAGAGAAGATGTCAAATACGCACAAGAGCATGACTTACAGACTTTAAGTATCTTTACTGCAAGCCAAACCAAAGATGATAAGCCTCTCATGGACGCCGTTGGAAACCCTTCCACATCTTCATCCAAGATTTGGGTAATGTAAAAACTCCCAAATCCGTCACACTTTATATATCACGTGATTTATACCCCTTCATCATTCTAATATCTTTTCAGTTATATCCATGGGGGAGCATGGCGTGATCCACTTGTTACATCCTCTTCTTTTATTCCAACGATCAATTGCCTTGCGTCTTCATCTATTGAATCTAAGATTGCCTCATTTGCATCCATCAATTATCGTCTATCTTCTCATCCATCATTTCCTCAAGATTCTTCTTCAATTCCGAGACACGAATATCGCGATGCTAAGCACCCTGATCACATACAAGATATATGTTCTGCACTATCTTATTTACAATCTAAATACTCCATCGAAGATCAATATTTACTCGTTGGTCACTCATGCGGTGCAACATTAGCAATGCAAATTTCAATGGGAAAAGAATATTTATATTCTTGTGGTATACCAAATGAGCAGTTGAATTTCAAACTCCCACGATATGTTCTTGGAGTAGCTGGAATCTACGACTTAAGATTACTTCGTGACACGCATTCTCATCCTGCATACAATGAGTTTCTCACTCAAGCGTTTGGATCAGATGAAAAAATCTGGGATGAAGTTTCACCAGCGAAAATTTCCAATTTTGAGGAATTTGGAAAGAGTGGAAAGATTCTTGCTTTTTCTACTTCACCAGATGATGATTTGGTTGATGAGTTACAAATCGATGTTATGGTGAAGAGTGTGCAAGGTATTAATGGAGGAGTAGTGGTGAAAGATCTCAAAAATCATTTGGAAGGAACTCACGACAAAATATGGGAGACTGGAAATTTGGCTGATGCTATAGTTGAGTTATTGAATTCATCTGAGTAGTCAAATATAAGTGGAGAGATTTAATGCTAAAGTTCGGAGCTACAAACTCTAATTTGACTTCATTACTTCATCTAGGAAGTTGAATAGAAGTTAGTAGTGATTGGTAAATAATGGCGGGGAATAAAGTAGGTATTTTAGCGGTTGGAGGGGAAGAAATTATCGGGCAGCAGGAAGGAGGTATAGGATGGTGGGGTTGAGGGGTTGAAGGGGTTGAAGGTACAGTGATTGGTCCTGTTATGGCATAGGTTCTGATTCAGAGAGATAAGTGATGATTATTGTTGTAATAATAAGAACTATCTCGTTGTGAATTTACGGATGAATTATTTACAGAGTTATCAAGAGTTAATCGATATAAGAATTAAAGTAGGATAACAATTAACACGATAAATTGCTTAAACTAAATCAAAGAGATGGGAGTCCATTATCTTTCTCGATAACTAATAAGATCATGACCACTCAGGGGATATGTGATATATCCTCAATACTCTGATCATCAATCATTGCATCCATTGAGATTTGTAAAGATCAGCTCCCTTGATCTCTTGTTCTTCCTCACTACTCACCTTCTCTAATTCTTCATCCGTTGGGGTTTCATCAATTCTATAAACCAATTTCCCCGCACTAACTTTACCTTCCGATACTTCCAACATACTAAACTGCAGTCAGTACACATTTATCTTTTCAGAAAACAAAGAAGAGTACAGAAAACTAACTTACCCATCAATTACTCCCTTTAATCCTCCTCGTCTCACAATAGCAGGTTGATTCTTTATCTTTCCCTCCTCAAGTAACTTTGAGCTCATCTTCCAAAATCGAACTGCAAATTCATAATGTTCTGGATAAAATGGAATATCCAAGCCAAATTTGGAAAAAGCTTTCCCAAAAGCAGTATATGCTAAGAAAGCTTTAGCATCAACATTTTCCTCATTTTTTCTTGAAAATGTTTCAACAGGAAGTACACTGATGAATTTCAATTCTCCAGTAAAAGTCCCCTTTTCAGGAAAAGCTTCAGCACAGATGGCGAATGTAGATTCGGAGCATATACAATCATATATATGATGAAGAGATGAATTAGTATGAGCTCGAATATCAGCACCACAAGTGGGAGAATGATAATCAAAAACTGCATCAGCTCCGAGTGATTTGACATAATCAAAGTTTGAGGGACTACAGGTTGTTATGACTGTAAGACCGGATCTTGTTTTGTTAGTTTCGTTTTGTATTTGATAGTTTAACTTTCTTCCCTAGACAAATCTCAAGGGGGATGGAAGAGAAGGGAAGGAAAACTTACAATTTGGCAAATTGAATTGCCATAGCTCCACTAGTTGTACTTCCACCATAAATTAATATGGGAAATGGAGTTTTGGTAGGTTCAGTAGGAAGTGGAAGTTTCATATTCATATAAAGAACTTGACCTGTACTGGTGATTGCTACACCAATTGTTGCTGCATCTTCGAATGACATATTGTCTGGGATTTTAATCAAGACGCCATCTGGTGCAAATATGGTTTCTGCAAATGCACCACTTTCTTTATCATTCTATTTGAAAATTAGTATTTTATGAGATGTGCTGGAAGAGATATTGTCATGAGATGAAGAGATATTTTTATGAGATGTACTGAAAGATGTATTGCTATACAATATTTGAGAGAGAATAAAAATGAGAAAAAGTACTAACGGTATTTCCACCATGGCAAGATCCACAAATACGATCTCCTTTTTTCAAATCCGAATTTTTACATTCTGGTCCAACTTCTTCTACTACACCAGAATAATCACATCCAAGTATATGACCATTCGGTGCAACATCTGATGCATGATGGAAGTCCGCTTATTTTAATGTTAGTTTAATGTTTAAGGTTATTGGAAGTATATGTACAAACTTGGATTGATAGCTACTGCGACAGTCTTGACTTTTACAAAATCGGGCTTCAATGCTGGTTCGGGAATGTTGGATACAATAGCTTTACCAGCTGTTTTGACAATGACTGCCTTCGTGGTGATGGTTTTGAGAGAGGCTCGAAAATTTACGAGATGGGAGGTTTTATGTAGAATTTGGGATGATATCGGATGTCCTAGTGATCAAGAGGAAAGTATGAGAATATAAAAAATGAGAAGTAAATGAGAAGATGAAAGGATTTATCAAAAGATAAAGCAAACCCAAGAACTACTTGGCAATGATTACTCCATTAACCAAATACTATTTATCACACTACTGCGCTTTTGAGGCACATGTTGGTCATATGTTGGTAAAATGTTGATTGGTATGATGGTACGTACAACTCATACGACCATTTCAGAAAAAGAAGAATGTAATCATCCAAGGACCGGATTATCCGGAGAAGTTTAGTTCTTACTGTATTTACATCAAAGTTTATGGGCCCATAATCTCATCCTTGGTATTCAACTTGCTTCTAATTTGACATGAAATTTCAACCATTATCACATGTATAATGTCAATCACCTGATTGATGCGGAAGAAAACTTTTAATGGGAAGGGTTGAACTGGAATTTGTACTGATAATGATAATGAATTAAAACAAGTAGAAAGACAAGTAATAATGAGACTATCTAGATAATAATGAGATTTCGAATCATAAAAGAGAGGTGTATTGAACGCGCATATCACGTGATTCTCTCGACGTCAGTAGCTGGTATTTTCAAAACTAGTGAACAATATCTATATAAATCCAGCAACTTAGAAGCAATGCTTCAAAAAACTTAAAAGTAGCATCTGAAAGATTGACTAGAGTGGTGGCGACGTTTTGGTTTCTTTTAATTGTGGTGTATTCTGGGGTAAGTTGAAGTGAAATTCAAAGAATTCCCATTATTGTAACGACAAAGGAGTAGTAAATCGACGACAAAAGATGCCACAATATGAACAACACTAGTTGATAATAAATTCAAATTTGATATTATCATTTATGGCATGTTCCTTTCTGATTCTCATCGACTCAATCCTGTAAGACAGGTAGCTTTCATCTGATCTTGAAAATTCACTCGTCTTGAATATATAGTTTGGATTTTTGATTCGAAATTCATTCCAGTTTGGAGTCCAGAAATACTCTGTGACTTTATTCTTGAGTAGTTTGTTATGACGATGTATTCGTGTAGCTTTATTTCGAAGTGATTGATAATTTGGCACGCCTAAATAGGGGCAAGATCGGATAAGTCGGAAAGACGAACTCATCCAAAAAGGAGAATCACCTTCCTGGAAAATCAACACCACGAGGTTGAAAATTGATGGATGATAATTAATCTACCGTTGCAAGTTGGAACTGTTTTTCCAACCCAATTCTATGTACAATCTAGTAGATAAATTCTTGGCTTACCATTCACGGGAGTCAAAAAGGTATCAAATTGCCGAAGGATTTCCCATGTATTTTTAAGACATCCATCACGAGGAATCTTCTTACCAAATAATTATTTCACAGTTTCATCAACTATTACACATATAGCCTTACAAGTACAGTAGCCCTTGTATAACTTCTTCAAATCCGACAAGGCTCACACCAGTGACATTCAAGATAATTCTCGATAATCAATCCACATCACGAGCCTTTTCAATAATGTTACACTACTTTATTGATCATGACACCATAAATGCATGCGGGTACTTCCCCAGGACTTGGTTTGTTGCACGTCGTAATCTGCGGATCATCCCATGGTTTAGTCTTTGGTAATATGCATGATACATTTGATTATTTGTTGCATATCTTATATTTCGGGCATCTCCTTAAAATTAATAGTAAAATTTAAAGATATGAGTATGAACCCGAGTAACAGGGGCATGAGGGGGTCATTTTTAAAAGGATATATGCAGGTATGAATGAATTAGGTATGAGGTACATAATCGATGTATCAGACGTATGAGAGGAGTAACAAACAATTGACTTTAACGTGCTGACTCGAATGTACTATCTACAATATACTCATACCCACTCGCCCTACCTACTTATATATACAATCATGATACAATTTTTAGACCTTATCTCAAAATTTACCCTTCCTTTCTTTGATACCACATCATCATACATTAGAATTCCCCTCTCACGTAAACACGCATACATTTCAAAACTTCATCTTGATAACCACGTTTGTTGCACATCGAGTCTCACATTCCGGGCATCACCACATCATTTGGATTACATTTTGATAATTCCAGTAGAACTTTGAATGTAACGTAGTACACTTTCCTGTTCGACTTCCAACTATCATACAATCATATCATATTTCAAATTGTTTTTGTTGCATATCTCGATTTGCGGACTGCTCCGCGGTATACCCACCATCTATATGGCGTCAACTTAATAAATAAATTATCGTCCTTGTGTTACTCTTGGTGTCACTTTTAGTGCGGGGATACTTGCATTTTAGGTTTCACTGACTCCATCTACAGATTCCACAGATTTCACTTTGTTTCACTATATGATGATATTTTGATTATTTGTTGCATATCTTATTTTGCCGCAACTGCCTTCTTTTCTATTGTTGTGATAATGACTTGCTTATAGATACTCCACGTATTATTGAATATCGTTTGATTTACATTTACATAGAATATGTAGTTCCGTTGAGATTTATTGTGGGTAGAATATCCACATTGATGTATGATAAACCGAAAGGAGAAGAGTTTAATCATTTGGGTTGTAATGCAGAAGTCCCGCTTTAGGATTGAAGATGTATGGTTTGCCCCACTACTACCCCTCATACTTTATTTGGGATGGAGAAAATGGGGAAATATCGACACGTGAAAGTAAATTACTGGTAGAAAGGAATTTGAAGAAGTAATGGCCTAGATCTTTTGATTTTGAGTACAACTAAAGAGTTCTCTTATTTGTGTAACTAGGTTAGTACGGGTAAATATTTATTCTCCGTTCCGAATGAAGTGATTTAGAATGATATTCTTTTCGGGTTTGTTACTTGATTATGTTTTTTTGTTACTTGATTCTGTTTTATTTGCATACTTGAAAGAAAGATAATTATGATTGATTGCATAGACAAGTATATTGAAAACCAACCAGAGATATATTTTTACTTAGGTTTTGTGGAGAGATTAAGAAGTGAATGCCCGAAATATCATACATCTCAAATGGTAAGCGAGAATCCCGAAATATAACATTTAATCTATTATAAGTCACATGAAATCATAGATGAGTTGAATAGATGGATCGAATAGATGAATCTTCAAGGTTGAAATGGAGACAGAATATGAAACCTATCTACTCATATTTATTCTCATGTACATGGTTTCCACACTCAAATCGAAATTGCGGAGAAAATGCTACCATACTTACAATATCTTTGCAGGAAAAGGAAATAAGTAGTGCCGTACACCAAATAATTATACAGGTGACCTCGCTAAGAGGCATTTCTCAGCTGAAATGTACTCAGATTCATTGTCAAGCTGACTGCATGTGACAACAAAGAATTTATGCTCGCCAACGGGGTTCACCCCTATAAATTCGCCACTAATGAGTTGAAGAACTCGCGCCCAATTCTAGATGTGCAACATCAATTTTGAGAAACCCCAATTATTTACTACATGAACCAATCATAATTAGATTTAACAAGAAATTAATTAAGAAGCAAGTTCATAAACTCGCGCCCAATATTAGATATGCAACAAAACTTTGATAAAAGTCAATTATTTGTTCAATGAGCGGCAATTAACCAATCAAATATCCTTTTCGAGGATCGTAAGACGTGGACATGACTTACAACAAAGGGGAAAGTTTTACTACTAAAATTTAGGCGAGTGACTACGACATAGTAGAATAGTCTGGACTGCATCGGTATATTCACGCCTAATTTCAGATATGCAATAGAAATTTTAGAACAGTGAGTTGTTTCTTGAGCTCTAATGTTGAGATTGAATCATGAGCTTTTGATTGTATGGTTAAGATAGAAATTCTTCCCTTCCCATCCCCAAATTATTCGGGGAGGAAACGTAATGGGAGTTAACTCTTTAGTTTTATGTTCGTACTATGGTTTAATTTTACACCTATTTCTTCGCCTTTATGACCCCGCATGGCCTGCTCAGGAGTCAATTTTCCCATATCTAACTTCAGGGTAAATATCTGGAAGAGTTGGAGTTAGAGGGGTCAGAGGAATAGTTTCTCAACATATTCCCCTTGGTCTTTAAATGTCATCATTAGAACAGAACACTGTATTATTGATGATGCATCTAGTCATACTATCTCTCCCTCTCCCATTACACTTTCTGTTTGAATGGCCAATTAGAAATTATGTATTCTTTGAAGATTTGGGAGATTGGTTAAGCCACAATACTTCGAAGTCTCGAATCTATGAATTACTAAAATGATTTCATGGATCGATTTGGGAAAGACGGGGTTATGGTACCAGCGTAACTTAAACATTTGAGTAGAGTGGAATATATATTTCTATCTTCATACCTTAGACTTATTGAAAGGATAGAGTGGAGTTTTATTGTTGGGTTTTGCTACCATCGGAGTATAGACTTTCCTCATGATAGTGTTTAGTATTACAAAATAGCTTAGGAAAACCGTACAAGTAACCACAAATTGTATAATCATGCAATTTTAATACCAAGCGAAATACTCATATTAGAATATCTCTCAACACCATGATGAAAAGTGTAAAGATACCGTTAAAGCAAACTGTAACCAGACCACAAGCGTACCCCTCATTCTCTCATTCTCAATTTCAGCATTACCTTATAGAAGATTTTCCACACAACTCAAACATTTCCAAACCAAACTTTTACTCATCAATTACCAAAGAATGATTTCCCACTCTCGCGTCCTTTCATCAAACCATTGAAACAAAGACGCGAACACATACAATATACTGCCACGGAAAAAGAAAACATGATATTACACTACGCAAACCCCACATACCTTGTCCTCCAACGGCATTTAAATTTGCCAAAAGTCAACTATCGTTTGTAGCATCTATAAATTGCATACGAAATCGAACGATACTCATTTACGCTATATATTCAAAAGCCCTATCTAACCGGCTGAGTAGAAATAGGCAATCTTCACGAGATTCCCCTCGCATCCCAAACCTATCTAATTCAATCAATTCAATTCACTCCACCAATCTAGGGACTTCTGAAGAAGATAAATCTTAAAGAAACCCCATATTTACTCTTTCTATCGTCTAAATGACCTCAGTACCTACCTAGTCCCTTGCTTCAAATTTCAGCTGAATATTATGAACGCACGCACGGTTACTATTCAATCAATCACTCACCACT